TCACTTCATTTTCACAGTTACCCAACAAGATAAAGGTACTATTATTTTTTCATTTAGCAGACGGAGGTTAGATTAGGTAACTTGTCCAAGTCACAACTAATAAGTGACAGCTAGAATTTAAACTCCAGCAATCTGACCAGAAAGATTACTCTAAGCCACTATATGATATTTCCTCACAGGGGTTATTGTCTGTAAATATTGAGGAGATGGTATTATAAGACCTTAGAGGAAACTAGGACTTTATTTTTAATTTTATTTCAAAATAAAGTGTGATCACTTCTCTTCACTACTTATAATCCATGGGATTCCTAATAGGAAAGAAAAAAATTAGAATCCTTTTTCAATGCTTTTTCTTAATACCATTAGTAAACCCTGTCATTTGGTCTAGAGCTGATTTACTAACGGCATGTTGAGATTAACATACTTATTTCCAGGATGTTAGTATGAAGGAAAAAAACCTTTTTTTAAATATGTTTTTGGGTTAGAATGAAACAGAAATTGAGCTGGGGAGCCTGTTGAGACAGGATTTCCAAGGATTGCATAATGAATTATTGCTGCGAATTGGAGAACACTATCAACAGGTTTTCAATGGTTTGTCAATACTTGCCTCATTTGCATCTAGTGATGATCCCTATCAGGGCCCAAGAGATATCACATCATCTGAACTGATGGTAAGGAATATGTTGTATGGTTTTTTTTTCTCCTTTTTTGTGACTTAATTATAAAATTGAAGAAACAGATTTTTGTCTGTTTGTTTTGCATGATCCTACTGCTAGAGATTTGTTTGAATTTTAAGTTGGAATTTTGATTTTGAAAATGATTGTTTTAAATTGCATGGTCACAGTAAAGACATTAACCACATACAGTATATTAGAATTGAAAAATGTGGATTTTCAGCTGATTTTAGAAGATTTTATTTTTTCACTGAGTAAAAATATCGAAGTTTCTTTTTCTTCACTACTTTTTAACTATATATTAGAATAGTTTGTAGCTCTCCCCTCACCCTGTCCCCACCCCCTGACTACCCCTTCCTTGGCACAGCAAACTAATCTTATCAGTTCTAACTGTGGTTTAATTCATTGTAGCTTAAAGCAAAGTTAGAAGATATGTTATTTCTTTTTCCACTTATCTTAAATTTGTATCTGAAATCACTTTACTATTTTATTTCTTTATCTGAAAAAATATATATAAATTCTCAGATTTATTATTTTTTCTTTTTGATTGCCCTCATTCTTTAAAGAGACACAAAGGACTAGCAGCAAGATATCTTGAGAGAGGTTTGTATCTCTGCTTTCTCATTTCCCATTAAATGAACTCATTCTATTCTGGCTGTGTTCACACTATTCTACTGAAGTTCTTCTTGTCATGGTCACCAACAGTCTTCTTGCTGTTAAATCCAGTGGTCACTTCTCTGTCCCTATCTTATTCAACCCTTCAGTAGCATTCAACACAATCGATCATCTCTTCTTATGTGGCCTCTGTGATACCACATTGTCTTTTTTCTTTTTGCTTCACTGTCTATTCATTCTTAGTCTTCTTTACTGTCTCTTTTCCCTGTATTTTATCTACTTTATCCTCTAAATGTTAGAGTGATTCAGGACTATGTAACAGGCTCTTTTTGCCTGTCATCATTCTCTTCTTAAATGATCCAGTTTGATTTTTTGCTTTAATATGATTTATAATTTGACGTTTTATAATTTAAATTTCAGTTGAGCGCTCCCATAAACTTTGAACTCTTAGTTTTTATAGATTATGTTATGGGCAGAAACAGATGGCACATACAAAAATGTTTAAGTGAAAATAATTTAAAGAATGGGCTATTTTCAATGTCATGGGCAAGGTTAAAGAAACCAGCAAGGAGTGTACTACGAACAGTAGAAAACTTAATGCTCCGCTTAGTTCTAGGGAGGAAATGGTGTTTCTAGAACCTAGTTGAGAGCTAGAACCATGAGAGGGAGACCTCTCATTATAGAGAGATGCAGCCACTGCCAGAGCCACCTCTAAATACAGAGAGAGCAGGAAATATAAATACCACACTCTCTCCT